TGTACCAAATATGAGTGATCAACATGGTGGCATTGAAGAAGAGGAAGACATAGAGAGGCACATGGCAGGCACAGACAACAAAGATGAACCCTTTTGCACATACAGTAATGTGTTTTCAGTGAAGGCAAACATGGGTATACAGGTGGATAGATGGGTGTACAGGCTGAACTATTAGGTATGTCTATGAAGTGGGGAGTGTACTCAAGACCCTGTATAGGATTGACATAATGATCCTATAAGTGTATTTGTATGATCTGACATCCCAGGTGTATAGTAGAGCTGACAAGGGGACAAGGTTGTAGTCACTTCATGGTCACAGCCAGCTACCAAGAGGGACCGAGTAGTTAAACCTGTGGGCTTGGGATCATAGTCACAGGGGACATCTAGCTCAATTGGCAAAACATACTACACAAAACATTGTTCCAGCTCCTACTTTGGTGAGTAGTGACTGGGTTCTTAAAAGCTTGCAAGCAGCCATCTAGATGCAATGATGGGTCTCTTCTTGCCCAGAGCAAAGAAGAATGAAGAAAACCAAAGATTCATGGAAACAATTAGTCCTACTGACTGGTACACCATGCAATCTACACCCTATACAACTATGAGACCAGAAGAACTAGATGGTGCCCAGTTACCACTGTCAACCACTCAGAGGGGAATCTGTGGAGAAGATCCTGGATAGAGAGGGAGAACAATGTGGAACAAAACTCGAAATCATTTGGGGATAAAAAAAGGGGGATCAGGTTTGCTGGTCTGATAGAGCCTGGTGGAACCACTGAGACTATGGCCCCTAGCTGCCCTTCAGGTTTGGAATTGAACCCACACCTGTGGCTTCCAGCCAAACAAAAGACAGGTATATGAGTTGAACATTTACCTTGGAGAGAACAATCATGGGAGAAAGAAGGGCTGTTTATGCACAGGGAGACTGCTCAGGGGGCAGGAGTGCATGGAGGGTTGGACACAGGGAAGATAAGAGTGTCGGGAGGGAGTGTGAGGGGAGCTGTTTCATTGTGGTCAATGTCATGAGACAAAGTATATGTGAACTGCTGTATGGAAAGTGCATTTGCTCTGTAAATTTTCACCCAAATCACACACACACACACACACACAAAAAAAAAAAATTGATATCAGGATCAGAAGAAGACTCATTAACAACCTAGGATATGCTGATGACACAACCTTCCTTGCTAGAAGTGAAGATGACTTGAAACACTTATTGATGAAGTGCAAAGACTATAGCCTTTCAATATGGATTATCCCTCAAAATAAAGAAAAGAAAAATCCTCACAACTGCACCAATGAGCAAAAGCATGATATATGGAGAAAAGATTGAAGTTGTCAAAGATTTCATTTTACTTGGATCCACAATCAACTCCCAAAGAAGCAACAGTCAATCAAATGACACATTGCACTAGGCATATCTGCAAAAGACCTCTTTAACATGGTAAAGAGCAAAGATGTCTCTTTGAAGACTAAGATATGCCTGACTCAAGCCTTGACATTTTCAGTCACCTCATATGCATGTGAGAGCTGGACAATGAATAATGAAGAGCAAAGAAGAATTGGTGCACGTGAATTGTGGTATTGATGAATATGGTATATACCGTGGGCTTTCAGAAGAACAAACAAATCTGTCTTAGAAGATGGACAGCCAGAATGCTCAGTAGAAGTGAGAATGACCAGACTTTGTCTCACCTACTTTGGTCATGTTTTCAGAAGGGACCAGTCTGGAGAAGGATATCATGCTTAGTAAAGTAGAGGATCAGTGAAGAACAGAAAGACCCTCAACTAGGTGGATTGACACAGTGGCAGCAATGAGAGCCTCAAGCATAACAATGATGGTGAAAATGGTGAGAGACTGGGCAGTATTTTGTTCTGGTGTACGTAGAGTCTCTATTAGTCAGAATGAACTCCATGGCACCTAACAACTAGATTTAATGGCTGAGTAGAAAAGAATGATGCTATGTGGAGACCTAGAAGAAATAATCAGAGGGAGGAAGAGAGTATTTCTTGGAAATAGTGGGAGTCAGCAGTAATGTTAATTAGTGCTTGAGAGGTCAAATAAAATGAGGATTAAAAATGCCTGAAGGACTTAATTACATGGAAGTTATTGTGAACTAATTTGCTGTATTTGAGAAGTTACATTGCAAGAAGTTAAATTGAAGTGTGTTGAAGAAGGAATAGGAGGCGAGGAAATAGAATCAACAAATATATGAAGTTAGGTTGCAAATAGGAAAAGAGGTTTAGTGAGTTGTTGTTTGTATGTGTGCTATATACAAATATATGCAGAAAATAGTGATTAATACAAGATAGTTTAAATTATTTGTAAAATGAGTAACATAGCCAAAACCGTCTAAAACAAAAAGCAATATATGAAGACTTGGGGTAATGATACTAATAGTGAACATACTACTCTTACTATGTACCAAAACCTTTCTAAGTTGTGTGCATGTGTCCAGCTAATCCTTAAAACAACCCTATGAGGTAGATGATATTCTTGTTCCATTTACATATGAGGATACTGAGGCATATAGTGGTTAACAAACTTGTCCAAGATCATATACATAGTGAGTAATAAAGCTAGGATTTGGTCCCACATGAGCCTGAGTCAGTCACTCCGCCAGATTGCCTCAGTGTGTGCAATACTACCTCTGACACATTGTGTTATATAATGGCCAAGACAGCTGGATTACCATGTGATTGCCATCCATGCCAAGTACTCCTGGGAGATCCAAGCATAAGTAAGAGTCATATCCATTTTACAGATGTGATTTATGTCTGAAGGCCAGAGTTGCTGATTATTTAATAATGAGCAGGAAGGCAGCATGACTTCAATTTGAAGAAAGTGTGTCTGAATAGTATACATGAATTTTTAACAAGATAAATAAAGATTTTGATGAAGTAAACCCTAAGAACATATTTCAGAAATTTTCAGGTTCATCAAACCACCTGAGATTTCTTTCCAAGTAATCCTCAATTACTTGAGGATTTTATTTACTTAATATCCAATTAACTGAGGAGGCATTGTAATTATGCCTTGAAAACTAAGATTTGTGACATACTTACTTTTCTTAAGATGTTTAATCACTGAATAAAATCTTATAAGGGAATTCATTTATTTTTTTCAGGTAATATATCAACTATCACTAATATTGTCTCATATTATGAAGTAAAAAAAATCTTGAATTTTTTAATACTGCATTGAAATAATTAGAAATAAAAGAACCCTTGAGGCTATGTTTCAAATTTATATATTTCAGGTCGGATTATCGTCCTTATGAAATAGTCAAACAGCCTCGCCATGTACCAGAAGAGTATAAGCCAAAACATGGGGAGATTGATCTTGGTACTACCTATAAACGGGATTTTAATTCTTACAAAGTGCAGCCTGTGGTAATAGTCCGGCCTTTGGAAAGACGACAAGTTACAAAAGGAAAGTTGGACACTGTCCCAACCTACAAAGGTAACAAGGTGTTTCAAAAATGAAGGAACCAAAATTAAAACCTACCTTTGACATCTAATATCGAATCATCATTTTGGTGTGTTGCTAAATTTAGCTCCCATATCTTGGAGAAAAAACTTTTTTTTTGGTCAAAATAGTATTGTATAGTAAAAAAAAAGACCATTTGCTTGACTGAGAACTAAGAGACCTGGATTATTATCTAACTTCAACCACTTACTAGTTTTATCTAGCTAAAAACATATAAAAATAAAGGATACCATTAAACAAGCATTATATCACATTTTCACATTATGTCACATTTAGTTGACACTGTCCTTCTCCCCCATGCCTGAATGAGTTGAAACTCCACTCAGAGTACTGATGTCTTTGTGAAGATGAAATAAGTAGCATCCCTCTTATCCTATCAAGTTCACAACCAATTGATGAGGCAAAAGAATGAACAAATAAGGATCCAAAATATAAACATATATATATATATGTATATATATTTATATATAAACATATAAAGAATAATTACCTTTATATTTGTAAAGTTAGGAGCTATGGTTGCACTGTGATTAAAGCATTGGCTGTTGACCAGAGGGTTGGCAGTTCAAACCCACCAGCTGCTCTGCAGAAGAAAGATGAGGCAGCCTATTTCTATAAAGATTTACAGCCTTGGAAAGCCTATAGGGGTTGCTATAACTTGGAATCGACTTGATGGTAGTGGGTTTGGTTTATTGATAAAGATTATGGTGGAGGATAAAGCTTATATCTCCAGATTTTAGGTCATAAAACAACAGGCTGTGTTTCATCATTCTATGTGATGATTGTACTGTCTACTTGAGGACAGGGAGGTATGTACTTAAAGGACAGGTTTATAGCTGAAGAGAAGTCAAAGTGAAAACAGACTATCCCTGAGAATTACAGGACAGAGGAAAGGGATAGAGGGGATGTGATAAAGAAAATGCCTGCAAGATGTAAGCAGGACAACATTTAGATTCTAGAGACACAGTTTAACAAAACTAACCAAAAAACCAGACTCACTGCCATGGAGTCAATTCCGACTCCCAGCAACCTCCACTGGGTTTCTGAGGTGGTAAATCTTTACAGAAGTAGATTGCCCCATCTTCCGTCCACAGAGTGGCTGGCAGGTTTGAACCACTAACCTTCTAATTAGCAGTCAAATGCCTTAGCCACTGTGCCACCAGAGCTCCTTGAAATGAAATGGAACTAAAGGCTCCTGTTTATCTGTCACCAGCAGCGTCAGCTTAGGAATTCATTCATATTAAAATGTAAATGATGAAAATAGATCAGTATTTGATTTGATCAATGAAGAAATATGTATGTTTTAGGGACACATCTGCTCTGTCCTAGGCACTGTAGGAAATACAGAGATCTATACTGAAACATGGTAGAAACCTTACAGTCATGTTTAAAAAGAAGCAATAATAGCATGAAAAATGAAATAGCCATGCAATAGGAGTCCTAATTCACTAGAAAATTTGTATAACAATTAGTACTATAGAAATTTAGACTGGAGAGCCATCCATAGAGATTAGTGAGTACTGAATATAGATAGAAGGAATAATGATGGGGCAAAACAAGCAAGAGCATCAAACCAGAAGAATAAAAGTATTATTCAGTGGACATGGTGAGGACCACAGAATTTCAGGGATGAAAGATAGGGATATAATTTGATAAATATCATCACATTATGAAGAGCTGTGATTGCCAGACTGAGAAGCTTGACATTTTTCTTGTAGCCACAAAATTTTTTTGAAACGTCTGTGGCAAGATAGGATATAGTATGTAGCAGAAAGTCATTATCCTCATGGATAATGTAACTAAAAAAGGTGTACAATTTTAAATGTTAAAATCTCATTTTCAATCACATCGGACAGCTGTGGAAGCAAAGAAGTAAAATTCTAGAGAAGGAAGAGTCTGTCCTAGGTAAGCAGAAGTAGGCAATCATTTAGTTTCTGGGAGAATTTGTCAAGTTTAGTCCCAAACTGAAGGAGCTCTGGTCGTGTGGTTAAGACAATCGGCTGCTAACCAAAAGGCTGATGTTTGGAACACAGCAGCCGCTCTGCAGAAGAAAGATGAGGCAGTCTGCTTCCATAAAGATTCACAGGCTTGGAAATAACAATGGGAGTCACTATGAGTCAGAATCAACTCTATGGCAGTGAGTTTGGTTCTCTTTTGGAGTCGTAGCCTGCGAATCGGGCTTGGCATAAGCAGAGGGACTGTACGAGGGGAAAGAGAACCCAGTAAAACATTTGACATGTGGGCTGGTATGACAAATTGGAACCTTGGAGAGTTCTAAATGCATGACTGGTTTTCCTTGTGGAGGGTGTGGTTGGCTGCGAGACTGGCCCTGAAGAATTCCACAGAAATATGCTATGGTCTCACTTGGGAGTAAGTGCTTAGGACACAAAATCCCACTAGAATGCGGTTCTTGCCACAAACATACAAGAAGTCTTGCCTGCGAGACATTTGAGACCAGAGGAAGACTATCTAACTAAAGGTACCATTAAGTATTGACCTAGCTCAATTCCTGATTGGGTTGAGGAGACTTGCTCCACATCCTATATGCCTAACATAGGAAAGAGAACATTGTTTTTTGTTGAAAATAACATTGATTTTATTTTAGTTTCTTTGATTCTTTTATATGCAATATCCAGCATGTAGTAAAACATTCTGAGACCTATGAAGAAGCAGGAAATATATGAAAAAATAATGGCCAGGAAGTTTCCAGAATTAATGGGAGAATCAGTCCACAGATTCAAGAAGCACAACAAACCCCAAAATAGATGAACACAAAGAAAACCACATCTAAGAAATTGTCTTAAAAGTTCTGAAAACCAGGTAAAAATAAATTCTTAAAACTGGTCAAAGAAAAAAGTATATTGACACCTGATTTTTCAACAGAAACTGGAATCTACACTGACATCGTTAAAGAACTGGAGAAAAAAATAACTAGCATTTTAAATCCAATAAACCTAGAATTCTATATCTAGTGAAAATATTCTTCAAAAATTAAGGCAATAAAAACATGTTTTTAAGACACACAAAAGCTGAGATTGTCACCAGCGGATCCACACTGCAAAAACTTGTAAAGAAAGTTCTTCAAGCTGAAATTTTTCTGAGACCAGATAGAAATATGAAATACAGGAAGCTCACCAGAAAAGGTAAATATAAGTGATGATTGGCTTCTTAGCTTTGATGGTGCAGTGCTTAAGCACTCAGCTGCTAATCAAAAAAGTCAGCAGTTTGAAGCCACCAGCCAGTCTATGGAAGAAAGATGTGACAGTGTGTTTCTGTAAGAATACAGCCTTGAAAACCTCTTAGGACAGTTCTACTCTATCCTATAGGGTAGGTATGAATCAGAATTGACTCAAAAGCAATAGGTTTGTTTTTGTTTATTTGGTATTGGCTTCTTAAAGTTGCAGTAACTATGTTATATGGTTTATATAAGTGTAAAATGTTACAACAAAAGCACAAAAGGTAGGAGGGTATAAATGGAATTAAACTGTTATAAGTTTCTTTTATCTCTCTGGAAATAATATCAATTTAAGGTAGACTGATCCAAGAATTAGACTGATTCAAAGAGTCTGTAATAAGTCAAGAATGCATTTTTTAATTCTAAAATTAAAATTATAACAAAAATGCTAATATAGGAGAAAAATGGAATAATGAAATTACTCTTTATTCATTTAAAAGAAGTAAGCAAATAAGGAATAAGGTGTCAAAGAATATATGAGATAAATGAAAAATAAACAGCTAGATGGTCAGCTTAAACCCAATTAGATCATTAATTACATTAAATGTAGATGGATTATATCTTACAATTAAACTCAAAGATTGATCCTTCATACATTAAAAAAGTTAACATAATGTACAAATCTTTATGATAATAATTTTAAACTTTAGATAAAATGGGCAGATTCTTTGAAAAAGACAATTTACCAAAACTGACTGAAGAAGAAATAAAAAGTCAGAATAGCCTTATATCTGTTAAAGTAATTGAATCAATAATTTAAAATCTTACCATAAAGAAAGTTCCAGGATTTCCAGCTTCTGAATAGGATTTAGATAACAGGAAAGAACATTTTTCTCAAAAACTCAAATAATCTACAAAATCATAAATTTCTAACAACTAGCTTGAAATCTAAGCAAAAACGAGTTGAGATAGCACATTAGCATGAGGGGAAAACATAGCCAGTTTCTAAATCCAAGTATGGAATAATGTATGGCTAGGGAGTTCCAGACACAGAAGAGTTCACAAGCACTAACAGACTCTTCTCTTCAGATATCCACTAGATGGTTATCAGACAGATTGGGTCTCTAGAAAGCTAGAGACCAGAAAATGCTTGCTGGAATGGTGCAGGCAATGGAAGAGAAGGGTGGCCACTGTTGCAGAAGCTTTATTTGGATGCTTCTAACCTATAGAACAAAAGTACTAATTCAGTGCAGGAGGGACAGCACCCTTTCACCCCCAATGCATAGATTAAGATCTGTTACAGCTAGGGGAAAGGAAAAAGAGAAACAACAACCCTGAGAAGAAACAAGTAATTGTATTTGGTCCAACCATTAGTAGTGCCCTACATCAAGGAGAATGTTAGGAACACTGAGAGAGCATCCAATACTTGTATATAGGACAGCCTAAGACTAAAGCTGGTCCAGGGCAACAGAAAAACTACCCCCATGCATACATCTACCAGCACTAGTTTACCAAGGACCAAATAACGAGCAACGACAGTTCACCACCACTGAAGGTGGGGCAAGATTACAAATAGACACATTCTCTGAGGTACAAGTGCAAAGAGAAGGCTTAAAGATGAGGATGGAGCAGAAACTCAGAAAATTCCTCCAGCAAACAATCCCTCACCCTAAACACAAGATAATGCCAAAGGAATTTGAAGCTGGAGATGTGTTGAAGGTGAACAACAACAAAAACCAAATACTGGTAAGACTGATTCAATCCTGCTCACTAAAGGCTTAGGAGAAGAAGATGAATA